ACTGGCTGTTTTTTTACATTGTAGAGCAAAACCACTTGAGAGAACAACTGACACAATCTGCTTTATTCACCTTGTATTTGGCACATATTTTCTCAAAAATGCACAGTGAGCCAGTGTCACTTAGGGAACAACTGACATGGAAGAAGTACTTTTAAAACTGAAAAATAAAATTGACATAATAGCCCAGTGAGTGGGTTTAACAGCAGAATAGAGCAGGTAGAGGAAAGAATTAGTGAATTAGCAGATAGAGGTTACCCAGTCTCAATAACAAAGAAAACATACTGAAAAAAATCCATACACAGAGCCTCAGAGGCACTATGGGACAATGACTTAAGACTTGTGCTATTGGATTCCCAGGACAGAAATAAGGAAAAGATTGAAAAATATTTAAGGAAATAATAGCTGAAAATTACCTAAATTTGACAAGAAGACAAATTCTACAGATTCAAGAAGCTGAAAGAATATTCAACAGGATAAATTTATACAAACCCATTAAAAACTAAAGATAAACTTGATTACAGGCATGTGCCACTATGCTTGGCCTACTTTGACCTTTTTGAAGTGAACATAGGTTGGAACCTAAATCTTTCAGTTTTGGTTAGAATACACATATTTTAATATTTGGAAGGTATTTTTGCTGGGTATAAAATTCTAGCCTCACAGGTTTTGTTTGATGTATTTTTTTCTCCCTTTCAGTTCTTCGAAAAGATTTTTTCTACCCTTACTGTTTTTGAGAAAAGATACATAGTAGTCATTTTGTCATATGTATGTGGTGTATTTTCTTCTCTAAATTATGTTTACAGTTTCCAGTATCACAGGCAGTTAGTAATTTGATTATTATATCTTTTGGTGTGGATTTAATTTTCTTTTTCTGCTTGGGGTACATTGAACTTCTTGGGTTGTGAGTTTAATTTTTTTTTCAAATTTGGACAAATTTTGATGTTTCTTTAAATACTCTATTGTATGTGGGTGTGTGCAGGTATTTAAATTTCTTTGAAGTGAAATTTATGTAACAAAATAAACCATTTTAAAGTGAGCATTTCAGTGGTGTTTAGCATGTTTGTAACGCTGTGTGACTATGTACTACCACTCAATGATTCCAAACTATTTGCATCATTCCAAAAGTAAACCCTATAACTATTTAATCAGTTATTCTCCATTCCCCTTTACTAAAGTTCCTGGCAACCACCTATTTGCATTCTGTCTCTGTAGATTTACCTTACTACAATGTTTCATATAAATGAAATGATACACTTTGTGGCTTTTTATGTCTGGCTTTCTTAGCATAATATTTTTGAGTTTTATCCAAATTGTAATGTCTTGTCATATTTTTTCTTAGTTGTAATTGTGAATTTTATTCTGGTGAGCTGGATTTTATTTCATTGCTTTAATGAGTGTTATTTTGTTTTGGCACACACTAAAATTACTTGGAATTAGATCATGAACCATGTCCAGTATTGTCCAGCCTCCAGAAATTGTTGAACCTATTAATTCAGAATTTAGGAAGTTGCCTCTCAAGTGTTGCAAAGACTGGAGAGGACCTCTTAGCAGATCTCTAAAGGTTTCTCTCTATACATTTCCCTTCTCCAAGATGCTCTTCCCCACAGATCTAACATCCTTGGCCTCTTGATCTCCGTGTATCTCTTTTGGCAACATTATGCACCCATGCTACAACTTTGAAACTTCTTCAGGCCAATGGGCCAAACCTAGGGCTCACTTCTTTTTGTTGCGTTGTATCAGTGATCACAGATTGTCTGAAAATAATTTCTTACATATTTACTGATTTACTAGTTTTTCATCTACTAGACAAGCAGATCACATAGCATTATCCCTTCACAGGCAGGTTACTGAGTTTTTCATTAGTATAAGAAAAGTCTATATTGAACTTCAAGTAAAGGATTTAAGGACTTCATCATGAAGTGATCTTGCCAGCAACTTGGTCCTATGGTTCACAGTTTGAATTCTGCAGACTTTCGTATTGAATTACATTTTAAAGCATGTTTATTAGCCTTAGAAATCTTTCATATTTAGATACACTTTTATGATTGTTTATTCTTAGTAAATGCTATTACCTTATTACACAAGTGTCTCACAGTAGCTATCATTATTTCAGTATTTCTCAATCCTGGACTGGAACATCAGGTAGAAATTTACTTCAGAACTGACTTACCTTCAGAAATGGTGATTTTGGGGGCAGGGATTTAACTCAGTGGTTCCGCCGCCTGCCTCGCAAGCGGAAGGACTGGAGTTCGATCCCCGGTTCCAAACAAGAAAAAAAAAGAAATGGTGATTTTTCCAGCTAAATCTGATATAATAATTTACAAAGTGATAATGTATTTTTTGTTTAAATATAATTGTACTTTAGATTGGCTAATAAAATTTCATACTTTCTGGTTGAAGCTCAGGAAACTAGGGTGAAGGAAAAACTAAAACCTCTGCTTTTGCTAATGACTAAGCAGAATGAAAACAATATGGGGCAGAATTATATTGGCTGTATTGAAAAAATTATCTTTATGCTACTGTTTTATTTAAAAAAATTTTTTTGCAATGGAAGACAAACCTTGACTGTCTTGCCATATAAATTCAAAGAATCCCGAATATGTAGAAATTGAGGGTGGTAGGGTTGAGATGCTGCTGCTGCTGCTTGGGAGTTTTCTGAAAGGGCTTTACATGGCTTCTGAAGATTGATTTTTATCCTGAAAGTATGGCGGAGATATTGCATATTAGCAGGGATGTGATACTCTTGTCAGTTTTGTATAGATTGAGTTTGCAGCAACCAATTGGATATATGGACTCTAAGTTTAGAAGAGATTAGAAATAGTTAATGGGGCCAGGGATTTAGCTCAGTGGTTCCGCGGCTGTTTCACAAGCATAAGGTCCTGAGTTCGATCCCCAGTACCAAAAAAAAAGAAACAAAAAACTAAATAGTTAATGTTATGGTAAAGTCCTTAGGAGCCCTGATTTGGCTGGTCACTTGGTTTTCTGTCATTGGATCTTGTGGATGCTGGTCAGTGGGAGTAATACAGACAAATAGAAGAGATGGATCGTATCATTTATAAAGAATTGGTCACACTGTAAAGGTCAGTGTACAGGCAAAACAAGGGCCTGATTTCAAAATACTGCCTGAAATTATTACATAACTGTTTTACTTTCACTTACAAGACAGAGTACTCAGTTAAAAAATTAAATTTAAAAATACATAAAATAGGATAAAAACATACAGCAACAATACAAAGCTTAGTAAATAAAGTTCAGTATACTCTTTTTTTTTTTTTTTTTTGGTACTGGGGATCGAACTCAGGTACTTATGCTTGCAAGGCAGGCAGCCGAACCACTGAGCTAAATCCCCAGCCCCAGTATACTCTTAAGAACCTTGCACAAATAGACTTTCAAGAGGAGTGCAGTAAGGAAAAGGAGTATTTTAAAATGGAGGCATGCAAGAATATGGGAGGCAATACAGATAGGAATCATGGAAAGAATATTAAGATCAGTTAAGTGACAGACAAAATAAGCAGAAATCCATCTCTACTTGTGAATAATGTCAAGATTTATTGTTTGCTGTTTCTTTTATCTTTACTTTAAAATGTATTTGATATTTAAAGTGATCTTTACTTAACCAATTCTGGAAATTACAATTACCTGTTGTAATTTTGAAGGAAAAGACTAGATATTAGCAACATGTGAAGAACTGAAAACACCAATTTCCTGATAAATTTTTCTTAGATCTTATAGTTACATAGGGTTAAAGAAATTCTAGGAGTTTAAAAGCTAGACAATCATATTAAACTGCCCCCCTCTTCAGATTGCTTTCCCAGGGTTCTTAAGGTATATAAATATAACGAAGTATTCCAACATTAATCTTATTGTACACTTATTGCTAGTTGTTAGGCAGGGTCAAGGTTAGATAAGTGGAATATGAAATGGTTAGCAATCAGTTTATCACTGAATTTTTTTGGTTTTGTTTTTTGTTTTTGGTTCCAGGGATCGAACTCGGGACCTTGCGCTTACAAGGCAGGCACCAGAACCACTGAGCAAATCCCCGGCCCTTATCACTGAATTTTTATGACTGAATTTAAAAAAAAATCTTAATGATTTTACTTTTGTGAATCAGGAATGTCCATTGTTCTAGATTTAGAGCTACTTATGGTTCCACTTAAAATCAAATAGTGAGATCTTCCACCGTATTTGACCAACCTGTGCCCAGTCCTCAAAATTGTTAAATGTGAACAATGATGCAGGTCTATAGTTTATCTAGAGCACTTAAATCACATTCTAGTAAAAGCTGGTTTTATATTTTTCTAAAATTACACTGAGGGGCCGGGGATTTAGCTCAGTGGTTTTGCTGCCTGCTACGCAAGCATGAGGACCCAAGTTCGATCACGAGTTCCAAAAAAAAAAAAATTACACTGAGTTCAGATAAATTATGAAGTAATTCTTTGCATGAAAAGAAATACTTGAAGTGGCTTTCAAGTGAGTGGCTATCTTATATGACTTACCTTCCTGTTAATACTTTTCTTATATTAGTTGCATAGCATGTAGAAAATTCTGTTTCAGTGCAGGTTTAAACTTTCTGGTTTTTCTTTTTACCAGCTCATTTTGTACTCTCAGGAAACACTTCAATTAAAAAGAGAGGTTTTCTTCTGAGCTCTTCTCCAAAATGAGTTCACCTAGCAAGACAAGTTGGAGCACTGACAGTCTCAAGTGTATGAAAATTTGATATATAGTGTGTTTAGGATATGAAAAAATGTTGAAATATATTTTAATCAAATGCTTGCCTAAGTCTTAAGTAGTAGAACCATGTTTTAAGCCAGTTTGAGTCAAGGGCTCCTTCTACCATATTCTTGTTTTCATACCGATTTAAAAAAGCAAATCTCATTTATAAATCTAGACATATTAGTATACAGCTTATTTTCTTATGTTTTGTAAATTAAAGTATTTGTTTAGTATTTTAAAGAAGTTTATGCCATTCTTGTGACCAATTGTTTCCTTTCTTCCCCCAGGGAAATGAGGCAAGTTACCCTTTGGAAATGTGCTCACACTGTAAGTTGAAAATTCTTGTTATTAAGAACTTCTTCTAAATCTGTTTATGTACATATGTATATATGTGAGTATAGAAAATACATCTCTAATACATATTTATATAGTAAAGTTAGGTCCCTCCCCCAGTTTTTGCATGGTATTGAGGATCAAACCTAGGGGTACACTACTGTTAGCAGATTTTGGGGTGCTGGAGTCTTCTGGAGGTGGTTTCTAGGTTCTTTCTGTCCTAAGCAAAGCATTGGTGAAGACAAACGCAAATGGTATCAAAATTTTATTAAAGGTAGGAAAAGAAACGAGCTCTGCAGAGTGAGTTTGGGTCAAGTAAAGTAGGAAAAAAAGCACACCCTACAGCATGAGGGTGGGCCACCATGGAAGTAAGAACACAGTGGCAGAAACTCATTGTGGACTGTCCTTTTTATGTCACCCACTTCTCAAGCTGATGTCAAGTCTAGGCCATCCTGTGGAAAACCTGCTCAGGTCTCACAAGAAGTCCGTTCACAGGGCTGTGGGAACTGTTCTGCACATGTGTTCTGGGGTATTGTAATTAACAGGTCACACCTATTTCCCCAGCCAGTTTTGCCATGCTCCAATCTCCTGTCTCACTGTCACTGAACTACTACATCCCCAACACTCCTCACCCCCTTTAGTTTTGAGATAAGAGTCTTGCTAAGTTGCCTAGGTGGGACTAAAACTTGGATCCTCCTGCCTCACCCTCCATCAGTGCTTGGATTACCAGAATGCACCATCATGCCTCGTGCAAAGTGAGCCTTTACGTATTTAATGTGGGTAATGAATTTGACATACAGTCTATAAGTTACAGAGTAGGGAGATTTTGGGGGGACTTTATTAATATCAGCATTGTGCCGTGGTTGCAAATGATCCTCAAATCTCAGTGGTTTAAGCGAACAAAAAATTTTCAGGTTAAAGAATTTCCAAAGTGGATTTGTAGGAGCTTTTCTCTCTGTTTGGTACTCAGTGATCTAGGCTTCCTTGTTTTGTAATGGCAATAATTCCCTGCCTGATTCCCAAGATCAACAGGGGAAAGGGAAATTCTAGAACCTGCAGATCATGCTTTTATCTGCCTGGGCTCAGAAGTGACTGACATTTTTGAATGCTCATATTTATTGTATGGCCCAGAACTAGCCACACAGCTCCACCAAATTGCCACAGGCTGGAAAGTTCAGTTTTCTGTATTTTTAGGGAGGTAAAACAGATAAGCACCTATTTTCATTAAATCTTTTAAAAAAAATCCTACAGGTAGGTTTTGGTGTGATACTCTGTATTTATCTGATTAAAAAGCACATTTACAAAATGAGTCTTGCCTAAAACCTTTTTCTAATTTTTAAAATGTTTTATTTTTTAAGTTTGAAAAAGGTTATATTTTCACATATGCATTTGATGGAAACCTAATATTTGAAAGACTAGATGACAATTTAGAATTAATTAACTTGCATTAAGAGTTAAAAAAACAAACTTAATGACTAGTGGTCTGGTCACCTACAGCATCTGATATTAACCCATTAGCTGCTTTTTTTTTTTTTAATTTTATTGGTACATTTTAGGTATACAATTCATTTACATTTATCATTGGGTGTTTGTACCTGTACATGATATATCTTGGTTCTTATTTTTTCCCCCATTACCTGTGTGCCTTTCACCCCCTCTGCCCTTACCTATTTACATAGATTTCATTTCCTTTTTTTTTTTTTCTTTTCTCATAGTTTTTCCTTTCCTTCTTTTCCTTTCCCCTTCCTCTCCCTTCACTCCATTGTCTTTGGACCTTTTTTCCTATTTCACATTATAAATTATTCATTTTAATCATTTTAACCCTTGTTTACACTATCAGTTTCTCACACTAGTGAAACTTCGGTATTTACACGTGTGTCCTATTTATTTCACTTAAGAGTGTGGCCTCGATATGCATCCATTTAGCTATAAATGACTAGTTTTTCATTCTTTATGGCTGAGTAGTACTCCATTTTATAAAAAACCACATTTTCTTTATCCAGTCTCCAGTTGATGGGCGCTTGGGCTGCTTCCAAGCTTTAGCTATTACAAACTGTGCCCCTATGAACATGGGTGCACATATATCACTGTGGTATGATTCTTTTAATTCTTTTGGAAAGATACCCAGCAGGGGAATAGTCGGGTCAAATGGGACCTCTAGTCCTAGATCTTTGAGGTATCTCCATACTGACTTCGACAGTGGTTGCACCAGTCTGCACTCCCACCAGCAGTGGAGAAGGGTTCCTTTCTCCCCACAACCCTGCCAGCATTTGTTATTTGTTGATTTCTTGATAGCAATTAGCTGCTTTCTTAAAGGCATGTTCATTTTTACATTATTGTATTGAACACAAAACTGGTAGATCAAGTCGTTATTGCACAATATTTTCTGGGGAAAAGTAGAGCAAGTGGCTCATTACTTCTTTTTTTTTTTGGTACTGGGGATTGAACTTGGGACCTTGCGCTTGTGAGGCAGGTGGTGGAACCACTGAGCTAAATCCCTGGCCCTGGCTCATTACTTCTGACCATACTGGAGAGCCTAAAGGAAGAAAATGAAGGCTTAGTAATTGTTGTTTCAAAGACTGGTCAGATGAGCAGGGAGCTGATAGTATTCTCTTACAAACAGACAGACAAACAAAAAAAACCAAATCAGATCTCTTGTTGAAAGGGCAATGATTGGGAAAGGGGGAGACCCTTAGAATTGGAGTAGAGCCCATTGGTATGTTAAGATACAAGGTTCTGAAATTCCCAGACCATTGTGTTCTCAGCAGAAACAGCCCTTTCAGCCTAAATGAGGGCTTGAAGGTCTCTTCATTTCTAATGAACTATCACTTCCCTTTTGAATTGTCCCACTTTCCCCATTGTGGCTATGTTCAACAGTCTCCTTTCTTTTCCCCAAACATCCATCAGCTTCTTTTATTCCCATTACTGTCTCTGCCTGCCTATGAGTTTAAGTGGAGCCCACTTTTATCAGCTCTTCACTTGGCTGGCTTTCTTCAGTCTCATCTCTGGGTGAGTGAGTGAAGCCTTCTGTCATTCCCAACTCTCCTTAGATTCTTTCCTGAGTAGTGTCCTATATATTTTCTTTGTAGCAGTCACCATAAACTGAAATTATTTATTAATCAATTTACCTTCCATTTTGTAATTTCTAAAGTTTTAAATTTATTTTATTTTTGTGGTGCTGAGAATTGAACCCAGGGCTTTGAGCATGCTAGGCAAGTGCTCTGCCATGGATGTATTCCGTAAGCCCCCTATAATTTCTACAGTTTTTTAAACTTTAAAAAATGCTTATATTTATGATTAGTTCTCAATAATCTTGCCATTCAAACTGTTGTTTACATTTTACTATTTCCTCTTAGACTTTCTTTATGAATTTATTAAATTAGGACCATATGTAGTCACATATGTAAGTTTCTATCTTAAATGTGAAAATAAAATGTTACAGAATATTGTTTGAATTGACAAAACCAGGCCTAATTATGGCTTTGTAGACCAGGGATTGGTAAACTGCCCGCTGGTTCTTTTTATTAATAGCAAAGCACCCAGAATTGTACTTTGAGCTTATGATATAATTATTCCTCCGGATATTGATGGCAAGGAAGAGGTGTGGGAGTCTGTAATTAGCTAGGTTTCAGGCTGCAGTATTGTTGGGTTTGGTTGTTTTGAATACAACTCTGATTGGAAGGAGGATTTAGGAAGTTAGTTTTTATTTCTGGGTCAAGAACAGATGTTGTAAGGGACCCATATTTCTCAGGTTTTTCTTTTGCTCTCCTGTTAAGTCTGGGACTGAAGGTCATTTACCTTGGTTGCAAATAAAAATATACAAGGGCAGGCCGCGGATTTAGCTCAGTGGTTCTGCTGCCTGCCTCGCAAGTGTAAGGACCCGAGTTCGATCCCTGGTACCAAAAAAAAAAAACACAAGGGCAAGAGATGGATGAATGTTCCCTTCTGCACATCCAGCGTGGCAAAGGGTAGTTTTTTGTTTTTGGTTTAGTTTTGTAGTATGTGGGAAACATGCTACCCATTTCAATTTTATCCTTAGAACTTTTTCTTTTTCTTTCTTATTTTTTTTTTTTAAATTTTGTATTGGGGAATTGAATCTAGGCCCTTTGCACTGAGCTGCATCCCCAGCCCCTTTAAAAAAATTTTGAGACAGGGTCTTGTTATGTCATTAAGTTGGCCAGTTACAGTACTATCATTTATAAGATTGCTGAAACCAATCCTTCAGGCACATCACTATTTGCATTTTCCCATTCAGGTTTATTTCTGTCCTTACTCATTCCTTCAAACCTAGCTCAACTTGTGTTGTCTGTGAGAACTTCTATAACTCCCTCAGCTCTCAGAGTTTTCTCAAATATTTGTTTTCTTTCTGTATATAAATCGTGTTACTGTAACAAAAGGTAGCAAGACTTGATATGGTACTGTAAGGTATTGTCCTTCTATTCTGTGACACACAGATAAGCAAACACCTACAAAGTCCTTACACTCCAGCTATTGGGAAAAGAATAATGTGTACAGTTACAGTGAAAGTAAACTATTGTGAAAAGTAGAAACAGATTTCAAGGAGGGAAAATCACCTTTAAGGAAAATAAGAAAAGCTTAACAGAAAGGGCGATGTTTGAAATTGTTTTTAAAAACTTTGTAGGATTCGAATGTTGATTAATTCTTTGATCTGTCTGGTTATTTGCTTACTTTCATTCTCTGCAAATTGCATCTGTATAATCATCATTCTGCCCAATTCCCCAACACAATTCTTTGCAGTTCCTTACCTTTAATAAATGATTTTGCTTTTTTAATGCTTGAGAAAACTCCGGATGTTCCCCCCACACACATACACAACCTTTTCTTCAGTGAGGGTTTGAGTTATGCCTCCCTTATTCAAGGTTAGCCTTCCCACTGTGCTTTTCATCTCCTGCTTTCTTGTTTCTAAGGTCTTACATTTTGTTAGCTTCTTCGTCTTAAGCTTCTCCTTTCTTCGGTTTATAATCAGCTTTTTG